TGCCCTCTGTCATGTGCCAGTCTGCCTTGAAGCCAGTCAAGAATGGACTGAAAAGTCCACTAACTGTGGAGGTTTCATCCTTAATTTTGGGTGTTGGGTACTTTGTCCCAGCAATGAGGAAAAAGTAACTAAGACAACTAGTAAACATCAAAGATGAATAAGTGCAGAAAAATATGTTTTGAAACAGTAGTATGGGTAATAGGCCAGTGAATATATCATTTTAACACAACTGAAATAAAAAATCCCAGTGGTTCAAGACTGACAGTTTACAACTCATTATAGAAGTCAGCAGTAAAAATAAAGAAGGAAATGTAGAAAAGCACATTTTTAAACAAATACTAATGAGGTAATGCTTATAATATCATATATTTAAGTAAAACAGAGAGTGATTAATATTATGCACTCCTAGGAGGCAGAAAATGGAACCAGATATAAAAATAAAAGTATACCAAGATACATACGCATGGCATGCTACTTGCATTGTGGCATCACGTTACATAAGTGACAATGGGTGTATTATTTTAAAATACAAAATTGGAGCCAAAGATGTAATTCAGCAGCACAGCACCTTCCTAACCAGTGCGAGGTCCTGAGTTTAATTTCCAGTAACAAAAAATAAATCAGTAAATAAACCATTGACAAAAAATTCTATTTTTAAAGTATGAAACAAATTAAACTATTTAAATAAATACAGCACAAATCTTTTTGTAAGTATTCTCATTTTTTTAATATTTAAAGAATGCAAAATAAGGGCCAGGGCTCAGTAGAATAAGCACTTCCCTGGCAAGCTCAAGGGCCTGAGTTCAATCTCTGGTTCTGAAAAAAAAAAAAAAAAGAATACAAATTAATAGAGCTGACGATATAGCTCAGTGGACTAAGTGCTTGTTTAGGTAAGCGCAGGGGCCAGGATTCGATCCCTCACTCTGCATTCCATGCCAGCCCCACCCCCCAGTGCACTAAAAAGGCGATTCAGACTGAGCGCACTGGTGTGCACCTGTAATCCCAGCACTTGGGGGTCTGTAAATAGGAGGATCACTACAAGTCTGATCTGCGTAGTGAGACCCTTAGACCCTGTACAGAAAAAAAAAAAAAAAAAACTAGAAATGATACCAGATTTCACTGAAGAAAGCAATAAAAATTCAACAATGTTGGCTATACTATATGATGCTATCTTCAAATTAGTTGTTCAGATTACCAGATATAAATCTATAAGATTGGTTTAAAGAAAACAAAACAAAACAATAACAAAGAACTTATAAGAAATACAAAAGAGGAAGAAAGAAAAAAAAAGAGTTAAAAAATTAAGCATTAACTGCTCCTTTCAAAAGACCAGCAGAAATTGACAAAACATTTTGACAGTGATTAACCAGATGATTCGAATATGGGTACTTTTTGCTGAGTTTTCCAAATACCATTTACTCATTTGGGAGAATACAATTGTATCTTTGAAACATTAAAATAAAACCGTATTTTTAATTTTAAAACTTCAGGCATTTTCTGTAAGGTTTATGTTGTATGTTAATTTTTTTATTGTTGTCCCGTCAAACTGAAGACGCGACCGAACACACTATCCCAGGTAGATGTTGAGGTGAGCAGAGGCTAAAACAGTAATTCTGCAATTTGGGAAAATACATGAGATACCATCTTTTACTGCAGCGCAGCGCAGAGATCCGAGCCGTGTCCTGTTATTAATGGAGGGGCAACGGGAGACAGGGCTGCTTGGCTGAGAAGCAGGATGCAGTGCTACGCAGGGAGAGGAACGGGAGCTGACTCAGCAAAACTGTTAAACGCCTGCACAAAACTTGTCACACCGGATAAACGGCGCCACCAGAAGAAGCAGCTTCGCATTCCTGTGCTGCACACACAGTTCTTTCAGGGATAAGATTGAGAGGAAGGACAAAGGAAGAGGAAAGAAAACAGGAGCACAGGATGCCATAATGAATCAGTAGACACTTCTTAAAGGAGCAGCTGGGAAGAAGAGGACCATAAAAGAAAACCCAAAGCGGAGGGCACGTACTTCATCTCACGGGGCAAGCATCCACTGGTTCCGCTCATGAAAAATGGTAAGTTCCTCTGTGGATGTTGACTACACTCTAATTGTTTTTATGGTAAATGAGGCGTGAACGCTGGTGTCTGAAAACATGATGTCCACGGTGAACAACCACATTACGTCTTTCTAGCAGGCTACTGCTGGGTTTGATGCTGTCAGTGGAGCCTGGGAAACTCAAATATGCACCACATCCTTGCATTTCTGTGAGGCAGACTTTGGAGGGGGAGGAGCCCGTACCCAGCCCTCTACACAGACACCTTTCCCCTCCTAATTCCTCAGTCAACATAAAAGAATCTTTCTGAAAGTAGACATCCTACTGTACAAAGAAAGAGGCAGAAGACAAGCAACAAAGACCTCTTTATAACATAGAGTTGTGTCAGCCAACATTAGTTACATTATATATTTTAATAAAAATCCTGATGCTCCTTACATTCTAAGATCTGACCTGATATATTTCTGGATATAACCCTATTCATTGGAAACCAATTAAATAAGTTCAAACAGCCTGATGCTGGCTTGAAAATTAGTAGATTTTATTTTACTTTATTGTATTGATTTCCCTTCCATTCTCTTTTAATCAGTATAAATTCATTGGCCTGTTTTTTGTTTTTGTTTTTAGTCTTTTTCAGACAACTTCACAGTATGTGGTTCAGACTGGCCTGGAACTCACTTTATAGCCCAGGCTGGCCTCAAACTTGCTGCAAGCCTCCTGTCTCAGCTTCCTGAGTACTGTGATTACAGTCATGTACCTCCATACCTGCTCTTTAGCTGGTGCATTTTATGATGTAGACATTTTCACAATGATCTTTTTTTCTTAACAACGTAGTCCTCAGGTCCTCTGACCAGGAAGCAAAATTTGCTTGGGTCAGTTGCCTCAAGATGGTTAGGAAAATACTTTGTGATACAAATCTGTGTAAAATAATTTCTCTCATGCTAACCTACATCAAATTCCATTCATCATAAATATTATTTGCATCTATTCAAAATGAACTTATTAATGGCATGCTAGTTCCGGATATGCTGCCCTTATGTTACTGAATAAGCCTAAAAAGTTAGAGGTCATGACAGGATCTGCAGTATTCCTAGTATGCTTATACCTGAAAAATTGATAGTTGAGTGGGATACTAGGTTACGGACAGATGAAACTATCTTCTTATGATAACCTGCATTGCAGCCACTGTGCTCGAGGGCTGACGCTGAATTCTTTAGGCTTGAATTAGAAAAGGCATTTCTTTGATAGATTCCTTCTTGTTCCAGTTTGCAAGCAACTAATCCTCACTGCCTTGGATCAAACAGATGGGCACAATCAATTCTGGGAAAGCAAGCAATGCCAGTTCTGCTCAATCTTCCCTCAATGAACAGTGCAGGAGAGAGGAGAAAAAAGCAAAGAATGAAAATTCAGTCATGCCAGCATCTAAGATAGCTTAGCAAAGGAAAAGATGAAAAGATATATTGAAATATATATCCTGGCAGGTGGAAGCACTTGCTGTCAGAGAAAATCTGAAAACACCACGACAATTCCAAACACACCAAGCCTTCAGACTTGGAGGAGCAGGGACAGGCAGGAGTAGCTGTTATGTCAGAGCTGAAGAACTCACCTAAGTGTGACATTGCCTTGCAAGTCTAAAATCTCAGCTACTCAGGAAACTGAGGCAGGAGAATCACAATTGCATGCTCAGCCTGGACAACTTACTGACTTAAGCAGAAACTATTTCAAACTATTTTTTAAAATGAGAGGCACTGGTGATGTAACTGTGATAGAATATCCCTGGACTGACTCTTCAGCACTGGGGAGAAGTCAGGGATGATTAAAGAAATCAGCAATAGCATCTCTAGAGAGGAAGGAGGTCCAGATTTGCATAAGTCTCCTTACTCCGTGATCTATATAGCCCACCCTGATGAGCAAGTTAATGGCTGCATGTGGGTAATTAATCTGAGACAAATCAGGGTCATCCAAAGCAGTATTGCTATAACTGTCATAACCTCTTAGGCTTGGCTGCCCATTGGATGGGAAGTCAAACTCGAATAGCAGCCTAACGGTGGCAGGAGAAAAATTAGTAAAAATGATCCAGAAACACAGTGGCCCTGATATGGATGGCGCGCTCCCTGCTTTTAAATGCGAAGTGCATGAAAAGCTGCCTCCTCGCTTACCAGCAGATACTTAATTCTCCCTCCATCCTGGCACTCAAAACACAAGCGATGGCTTAACCTTGGTTTCTCTGGTTCCCTGATTCCTCTGGCTCCTCTTAATCCTCTTTTCACACAGCACCATTATTTTTTCCCTTCTCCCCCTCTTAAATTTGTTTTGATCAAGCCTAAAATAATTTGTTGTGCTAAGGGTGTCTTGAGGGCTTCTCTGGAGAATGGCTCTCCATCCCTTGCCTCACCTATGACCCTCGCAGTTCTCAGAGCACGGGCCTTTCTCTGCTAGGCAGTCAGGTTCTGTGAGCTGAAGGTTAATCCTTTCCAGGTGAATCTCCTTAGCTTCTGAGAAGTCTACATTCTTGTTGGAGAAATGGAAGATGATCAAAGCATTTCATAAGAAATGCCTAGACATTTGCAATGAATTTGCCAATTTAACTGAACAGTGGCTCAAAGCCCTCTCTGTACATATATAAACACATAATTGCAAATATATGTGTGTATAGATGTGTGTGCATGTCAACCTCTTTATAATACTACCTATATGTCACATTATTTACAAACACATTGTTGTCTATTTTCACATACATGTGCACAATCAGGCAGTACCTCTTTGTCTTCAACAGAAAGTAAGGGTATCCTGATCTAGCTTACCAGAGAGCTTAATTGCACCTACCTTCATTCCAGAGCTCTTCCACATTTTCTGTCCAGCACGCATCTCCTTGACCCACCTGGATTGCACTGCCAAGAAATGCTACCATAGTAGTACACAAGTCCAAAGGTTGCTCAGCCCCTCTGAGCATCTTACCGCTGGAGGTGATGGCCCAGAACATCCTCCTCATCATTCAGCAGAGCTGTGGCTCGAGTCAGGAGCTGATGGCTGCAGCTTCCAGATTTGAGCTCCAAGATGAGGAGCCCCAAGCAATACATGGCTCCCATCTCCTCCAGCTCACTGGTACCAAATTGTAGTCCCTGCCGGTTAAGCAAAGTGGTCAACAGTCACTGTGAAATGGCATCAGATGAGAGTTTGAGATCAGAAGCAAGCACCGGACATATGCCCACCACAGAAGTTGAGAATTTACAGTACTCTTCTTGCATGACCCAGTATGTATTGTTGAGCACTTGTGCACTGGTGATGTTCAGCCCGTGCCATGTTTCTGTCCAGAGTTTCCAGGGATACTAAAGGACAGGAATGGAGGTAGGGCCAGGAATCAGCCACCCACGCCATGCAGTGCAGTGAAAGCGGCACTGTGCCTATCTATATTGCTACAAAGGGTTTTGTTGCTGGAACAAAGCTTATAAGCATTCCTACTGAAATGTACTCTGTTCTTAGCCTAAATTTATTAATCAGTGGAAAAATTTATTAATCAAAGTACGAATACTGAAACTGAAAAATAACAGCACACCACAGCATATATTTTAAACTACCCTTTCAACTATACTGAGATAATACATGAGAGCAAAGCCAAGACATCTCTCTGGCAAGATCCATGCTTGGGTAACAAACTAATGATACCACTTAACAAAATTTCCATAGAGTGGGCCTAAGGAGAGTCACATGGGGAGAAGACACTCTCTCAGGCTTTCACAGAGAGCACATTGGCCAAGCAACGGCTGTGACTCATCCACATGGCTGCACTGATAAAGGTTCTACAATCTGAGGTACAGGATCTCAGGACAAATCCTGAGGGCATTTCACTGACCTTCTCAGACCAAAAAGCTACAACTCTTGTTGCATAGGTCCTGCTTTACCTTGGTCTTAACCATCCAGTAGAAAAGTCTGAAGTCGAAATTATAAGAAATAAAGCCATGCTGTTAAGTTGAGCTGTGGAGGACTCAGGTCAATAATTTCTGACATTGCCAGTTAAACAGAAGACCCAATGCTATTATGGGCTACTGGACTCTTTTAGAATATTTTGCTGAGTTTACACACCTATAATATTCAATAACGGAACTTAGAAAAAATGGGGTATACAGATGAATGTCCATTTTGTATCTGTGTATTCAAAGTGGTTGGGATAGATATATAGTTACATTCTGTTAATAAATAGAATGATTTGTTCTAAAAAAAAAAATTTCATTGAACATTTACTATACACCCAGCACTGTCCTAATCTCTTTCCCATGCATTAAGTCAGTGACTTGCTATTAAAGTTTTAAGAGGTAAAGATTTTTATTTTTTCCCCATTCTTTTGGCTAGGAAATTCAGACGTATAACACTAAGGAAAGTGAGCAAATCCTAGAAACTAGGAGGATTAAATGCTAGCAAATGCATTCTGGCTACATTTCTCCAACATAGAATTCTACATACAATTGGCCAGGCTTGGTGGTACACTGCTGTAATCTTAGTACTCAGGAGGCAGAGATACCAGGATCATTGAAAATTTGCTGCCAGTATAGACTACATAGTGAGTTCAAGGCTAACTTACTACATTGAATGATGTAGTAAGACCCTGTCTCAAAAATACACACACACACACACACACACACACACACACACACACACACACAGTCATGGGGACACTTGAATGGCAAAGTAGAAAGTAGATCAGAATTGGCTTTGAATCGTGGGTTCACTGTTCTCTATTTGCATGATCTTGGATTTACTGAATTCATTAGCCTTGACTTCCTCATGTATAAAATGGGATAATAATTCTCTCCTACAATCATTCCTTCATAAGAAATTTTTCAAAAGCATTCAATAATATTGCATCATAAGAAATGTTTCAGAATAACCATATGAATGCATAATAGCACAATATCTTTCTCTTTCTAATAAAAATGTTTAGTGTGAAAAAATTCAATATGGTCCTGAGTTCTTCATGTTTACAAATTACTTTTCATGGAGCTAAAAAGCAATCAATAGTAGATTATTATTTCAAACACCAATATATTATTATATTGTGTAGTGTATTTTAATAACATAGTTACAAATTAATTATATTTTTAAATAGCTGAAAGAAAAGATTTTGAAATTTTCCAATATAAACACATGATAAATATTTTATGCAACATACAGTTATCTTACTTTGATCATTTATATGCATGTATCAAAATAGATGCTACATTGTGGCCCATAAACATATACAACTAAGCAAGGCACGAAGCCGAGGACTTGTAATCTCAGAACTTGAGAGGCCGAGGCAGATTATCACTGCAAGCTCAAGGCCAACCTGAGCTACATAGTGAGTTCAAGGCCTGGCTGTGATACACACTAAGACTTTGTCTCGAAATAAATAAATGTATGACTATCATGTGTCAATTTTTTTAAGTTGCCACATTTAGGTGATAGCAATATAGAGGACAATCATGGGACACTAACAGTTTTAAGAGCACCCGTAAGTATCCCAAGGATAAAATGAATTCCAAATTGTGAAATTCAAAGAATTTCTAGGTAAAATCATAAAAAGAAGTGGAAAGTCCTCAACTTTATGTCAGCTCTTGGAAAATTTGATTTGCTGAATGCCTTGATGCCTGTTTCTGAGGAAAAGAGCTATTATTTCAACATTAAAAGGAGTCTGCAAACAGCCTCAGTTCAAGGGAAAAGCTAGATGGTGAACAAATTGTTTTCTTAAGTCAATCGAAAAGATTACTTTCTAAAGGAGAAAAAAAAAGAAAGAAAACAGAATCTCTTCACCTGTGCTGAAGCTCTAAGCTCTTCCCACCCTGTTTTAATTAAGGCTACTCTTGGTTTAGTGGAAGGAATAGAAGATTATACCCTGCCCCTGCTCTGTCAGCTACCTCCCTGATAGTGGCAAAGGTGGGTCAACAAGAAGGGCACAAGGAAGGCCTCACCCACCCAGCCCAAGTAGCGTCTCAGTCACATCTGACACCCCAATACCAGCAAAGTGTACGTGAAACATGCCACAGAATTCAAAAAGATAGTCAAGTCCAAGGGGGAAGGCTCTCATAGTATGCATCGTGTTGACAGGTAATGGGCAATTCCTTCAAATCACTCCATTTTGGTATCACAACAGTTAAAGCAATAGCATTTCACAATGTGGAAATATCTTTGCTTTCCTAATGTGGGCACATTTATTTCAGGCAAAAGTTGGTAAATAATAAAAAGACATACTCATCCAGAAAACCATTAGGAGAGTGTATACCACTTTATATGAACTGTGAGAATCTGGGCAGGAGAGTTCATTTTAACCTCTACTATTATTTTCTTTTTGCTACTCTATTTTTTTACTTTCATACATAGTCAAAAATATTGGTTTGGCTTATGTTATGGTCAGGATTTTCAAGGGAAACAGTAAAATGCACATAATTTTAGGATTATTTTATGGTAGTCACCCAAAGAGTCTATACACAAAGAGAATAAAGGAAATCTGTCCACACACTAAATACCCAAAGAATCCAGCTGAGGGCCTGGATCCCACAGCATTATATATTGCATGAACCCTGCTGAAGATCTAAAGCCCATGACAACCTCATGCAAGTCTATTTCATGGATCTGCACTGGAAAGGCCCAAATATCTGTGGTGGAAGCTAGAAAGTTGGTGCAAGCAAGAGGAAGGATCTGTGGCAGTAGGCTGAGAGATCTGCACTGGAGCCAGGATGCAACACTCAAAGTAAGGATCAGAGCACCTCCAAAAGGTACCACAGCCATCGACAGCAATAATGAAGTTGTGAGCTCTTCCAAGGATGAGAACAGCTGAGGTCCTTTCATGAAAGCCAGCAGGACAAGTTTCTCCAGGACACTGAACCGTGCACCATCTTTCCCTTCCGAGCCAGGAAGTCATGGTCAAAGTAAGAATCAGAACTCCCCTAGAGTGAACATTCTCAGCAACAACAATGTCCCAAGCTCCTTCAACAATGAAAACAGCCAAGTTCATATCAGGAAAGCCAGCGTGACAACCTCCTCCAGAGGAGTCAAACAGACCATGGAGAACCAAGAGCTCCCTAACAACACCTAAACTTCTTCCTTTCCAGTTCTGCCTCTGATGCTGCCAGCAACAATTCTCAGACGGACCCTCTATACTGGTTCAGTTCAGCTGCATGTTACAAATTGACCAACCATTGTCAGTCCACCATAGCTCGTATGATTGACAACATATGATTGTCCACCATAGTTCGTATGATTGACAACATATGATTGTCCAACATAGCTTATATGATTGACAACTTCCCCTCAAGAATCCTTGACATGGAAATAAAATCCTTGGGGACATGGGCTGAGGGTTTCTGTTTCTTTTATAATTTTCTATTTGTGGCTTCGAGCACATGACTATTATATGCTATATTCTCTATATATGAATTGGAAAATAATGGCAATCTATGGGTAAACATGGAGCTGCATGGATGGATTGCCTCTGAGATGCACATTTCATTTATCAAGTAGAGCTTGACTTCTCTTGGTAGAGAGTTCGTGAGTGCCTTCAAATTATGTTTGCCTGATGTCACATTTCATGAGAATTAAATTTTTTTTAAAATATGCTTTTGCTCCAGTAGATTTTGTCACTTGGTATGTGTAGCAAAATGGTAAATAACATTTAGAAACTTTGACCTCTCTCTTGGCCAGTTATCAAAGACTTATGATCCAGAAGTTACAAATGAAGCTGGTTCTGGGATAGTTTAAAAGTGCCTATAATAACATAAAGATAAAATTTCCATCTCACACAGAACTAGTGAATTAGACTGAGTTGTGTTGTTTGCTTGTTTGTTTTTTACAATTTGTCTTTAACAGAAAATAACAAAAAGTCAGACTATAGTGACTTCAACAAAGAGGGCCATACTTTGCACTCACTAAACTTGTGGGGAGATGAAAGGTTCATGGCATGATCCCAGCAACTTCAAATCAGGGCAATTGCCACCTGATATTCTCCAGATTGTTGTTTCATTTGAAAAGTGATTGCTCTGGCTTCCACCAGCACTGTATCCATCAAAAGAGAAGAAAGAGAAATAGCAGAATGGTGCACTAGCATAGCTTTGCTTATGTTTGACCGACCAGAATTCAATGAAACAGCCAC